TTGATATGCTAAGATATTGATATCCTCCTAAGATACTGATATCCTAAGATATTGATATCCTAAGATAATATATCCTAAGATACTATATGATATCCTAAGATACTGATATCCTAAGATACTGATATCCTAAGATATTGATATCCTAAGATATTGTATGATATCCTAAGATAATGATATCCTAAGATATTGATATCCTAAGATATTGTATGATATCCTAAGATACTGATATCCTAAGATATTGATATCCTAAGATAATATATCCTAAGATATTGATATCCTAAGATATTGATATGCTAAGATATTGATATCCTCCTAAGATACTGATATCCTAAGATATTGATATCCTAAGATAATATATCCTAAGATACTATATGATATCCTAAGATACTGATATCCTAAGATACTGATATCCTAAGATACTGATATCCTAAGATATTGATATCTTAAGACATTGATATCCCAAATACTGTATGATATCCTAACATATTGATATCCTAAGATATTGATATCCTAAGATATTGATATCCTAAGATATTGATATCCTAAGATAATGATATCCTAAGATATTGATATCCTAAAATAATATATCCGAAGATATTGTATGATATCCTAAGATACTGAATGATATCCTAAGATATTGATATCCTAAGATATTGATATCCTAAGATACTGATATCCTAAGATTCTGATATCCTAAGATACTGATATCCTAAGATATTGATATCCTAAGATATTGTATGATATCCTAAGATAATGATATCTTAAGATATTGATATCCTAAGATATTGTATGATATCCTAAGATACTGATATCCTAAGATATTGATATCCTAAGATATGTATGATATCCTAAGATATTGATATTCCTAAGATACTGATATCCTAAGATACTGATATCCTAAGATATTGATATCCTAAGATATACTCATGATATCCTAAGATACTCATGATATCCTAAGATACTGATATCCTAAAATACTGATATCCTGAGATATTGATATCCTAAGATACTATTTTCGTTAATATATAAATATGTTATTTCCAACTAAATCTTCATTCCGTCGCTGACCGCCGAACAGAGATGACTAGCAGTTATATCAAACACAGACCGTTTGTGGAGCTCTTGTGTATTTCTCATCCAATTCAACAACAAGCTTTGTTGAATTCTGCATCTCATGAACAGATTCGCTTTCTATGTAATTGCTTGGAAAACTTTACATATCCTAAAGGAACATTGAACAAACTTGGACCATTTAGAGATGACCTCGCTGACTTGGCGGACAGCAGTAGGAGTTTTAGAAAGAAAAGGAAAATTCTTGTTCAGCGCGGGAGTGGTTTTCTAGGATTGCTACTTGCGCCACTTTTAGAGGGGCTTGCAGAATTAGTATAAAACAATCATCATTAATTCACATCGTCATTCCAACCATGAACAGCAAGGAAAGATCATCTCCGAGACATTGGCGTGTTGAAGATATACTTGGACACTTAAACGATAATGTTGATAAAAACAATGCGGAAGAACTTCTTTACTGCATTCTCACATCCACGGATATTCTCACATGGAATCTTCAAGGGGAAATTGTATACAAAGGACAGAATATACGTGGAACAAATATTGTAGATCTTTTGCAATATACTGTTTTACCATATAATACTGAAATTCCGGAACCGGCTGGACTGAATATATTTCTCAAAGGTCTTGCAAAATTGGAAATTGATAAAAGCCTAATCGTAAATGGGCGTGTGCTTACAATGCTAGCCCATAAGTGGTCCTACCAGGATAGACAGTCTGATAAATCCGAGGATGAGTCTGAAGACATGGACACAGTTTGTAACGGTTGTAACAAAGATCTAGACATCTCCCATTTGGCCACATGTCCTATATGCACATGGACAGACTTTTATCCAAATTGTAAGAGGTGTCACTGTACGATCTGTGATTTTCGACTGTCCGAAGGAAATTTCACGCATGTAATCGCCTGTTGCCAACATTGTCATTGTGACGAAATTATGGATGTTAGTACGGATAAAAGACTTTTTTACCATAAAATAGGCGAACAAAGTGATATGTGATCAGTTTACTGTGTGAATTTGAACTGAACACATCAACATGGTGAGAGGTACGCTTGTTGTAGACACAAAACTATTGAAAGACCATTTCTTGAGACAGCAGCGTGGTGGGAATATCGCTGGGTTTTATGGTGCACGTATGCAAAGGGGATATGGGATCGGAAGCATTTTCAAGAGCCTTGCAAGATATGCTATCCCTCTATTCAAACAAAGAGTTAAAGTTGTTGGCAAAAGAGCATTACAAGCAGCCACAGAAGTTGGTCAAGATGTACTTCAAGGAAAAAATGTAAGAGAATCTGTAAAGGCTCACAGAGGGAAAGTTGTTAAAGACTTTGTTGAGCAAGGAGCAAGGACTCTTCTGCGTCAAACAGGACATGGAAGCAAAAGAAGGCGAAGTCAACGCAGCAATCTATCACCAGTCAAGAAACAAAAACTGGAAGAAGATCCAAGACGTCTCAAATGGATTAGGAAAGATGAAAGCGACTGCGATGATGAAAGCAGCCACGACGATGAATCTGAAAGCGAAACATCTCAAACAAGTGACGATTAGAAACATAAAAATAACAAAAACACCTAAACGTTATGCTCTGAGAAGTAGACCGTACTAAATTTTGTAAAACGTTTTGAAGAAATAAATGCAATTTTAAAACTGAAATCTTGTGTAAGTTTTTGCCCGCAAAGCCCGATCTTTCCTATCCGCGCAACCCGCCCGTCTGAGTGCAACTATGTCGTACATTAATATATGCATGCACCCAAGCGCCGCTAATGACCGACAACACATAACAACGTATATAGCAACCGCACATTTGATTAATTTTTTATGACAAAATAAATTACAACTGTTCCAAAAGTTTTTTTCCCACAGAATCAAAATGTACCATTTTTCGTAGTCGAAGAGGTAGTAACTTTACCGTGTAGACATGAACCAAGCATTGTCAACTAAAGACTATGCTTCGAACGGACCGGCTTCGAGCCAAACTCCAAGCTATTTAGATTATATGCTTCGCTGTAAGCTTTCAAAGTTTCCGGTTATTTTGAATTAGGCTCCGAAATACATACACATTTTTCCGCGAAAAAGAACGCCTGTTTTTAAATCTTGCGAGCTGGGCTTGAACCAACGACCTAAGGAACTACAGTCCTCCGCTCTACCAACTGAGCTATCGCAAGAGCAGGTTTTAATCACCCGAAAAAAAAAACACAATCTAGACCAGGCCTGCCCGCGTTAATTGGTCGTGCTACCTGTCACGTTTGGCACAGGCGTGCCCGCGTTAATTGGTCGCGCTACCTGTCACAGTTGGCCCAGGGTTAGGGTTAGGGCCTGCAAAGTTGCGTCACATATCTTGCATACTAATTACTTTCGGAGCGGCGTGACGTCATTGGCGGCATCCCTTTGTACTCCATATGGGGGGGTATTACTACTATCGATGCCTTGGTTTCGTTGTACGTCGTAAAAAATCGAATGCCATGTTTCTTCAAAAAGATTTGAAACTGTCTATTGATAAACTCCGTCCCCTTATCAGTGTGAAACATTTTCGGTTTACGGCCTTTCTTGATTATTTTCTCAAAAGCTTTGACAAGATTGTTCCCAGTTTTTGCTTTTATCGCTTCAACCCACGCATATTTGCTGAGTACATCAATAACAGTTAAAACGTACTTGTACCCATTATTCTGTTGACTTAATGAATCCATAATGACTAAATCTGCCTCCCACTCATCATCCATGGCTCCAACTATAACACGGTTACACCTGAAGCGATATCTCACAGATTTATGCAATGTATAGGTATCTTGCTTTTGTAACCACTGGCGTATTTTATTCCGCGATATCTCATATTTCCCTTCGTTTTTCACGGCACGATAAATGGAATCTACGCCACCAAAACTTGCGGGGCTTTCTGGATCGTAATAGATCTGGCTTAGATATTTCTCCGCCATCGATGTCTGAGGCTTGAATTACAATTTTTCCACCACAGCAAGTAGAAATACAGCGCACTTTTCGAAAAATGTTTCGAAGAGAAATTTGTGGTAAACCTTTACAGCAACGCATCCTCACTCCTCAAAGATTTGAACAAAATGAAACAGGCAGTAATTATAGACTGATATATAAAGCGATCAGTGTGAGTGAGAGCGTTATTAAAAATGGACGTTTACTTCGTTAATGTTTGGGAATAGTAAAAATTCGACATGCCTTGATGGTTTTTTGTACATTGTGACGAATAGATTCCTCGCTATCATTTTGTACACACACCAAAGCTAAATAGGCAATAATACAACCAAAGTTTGTTACATTGATATCTCTGTAGATTTGGTCAAGGTTTAGATCACGAGCATTCACTGCACGATATAGATCTCGATGGCGGTCGAGAATTGTATTTATATGAAACGATAAAGTTTGCTTATCAATATCAATTTCATTTCGTTTCAACTCATCAAAAATAATATCTATGTTATCCATGATACTCTCACCACAACGATTGAAGAACAAATGAGATACACAGTATTTATTTCAGTAAATATAAGCAAAATTTACATTAATTAACTAGCAACGTATTATTATTACAAGAGGTCTATTTTATCAAGTTCACTTGTTAAACCAAATCTACGAAATTCATCATTGGCCTCTTTAGTGTTAGATTTAGAACTATTAAATGTCTCTCCTGTTTCTTCAATCATGTACTGGTATTGTAGTGGATTACTGAAGAGCATGATGCCAGTGTTGGTCACCCGAGGACCTTGTTGCTTCCATTCGAAGAAACCACAAGAGTCGTCCTTCGGACAGCAGTAAAACAGACGGTTTTGATTCGGACCATCTTTCTTGACTTTTCGTTCACAGCACACCATTCCATGTTGACATAACGGTCTTGGACCTTCGAATACGCCTCCCATTGCCAGAACTTGCAGGGATTCTTTCGCTCAGAACATACGAAGAAGGGTCGTCCGTAATTATCTTTCATTGTGTCTTTGACCACACATAACTTTGCAAATTTATGATGTGTAGGACATACGGGATGTATAGAACCACTTGCACGAAACGCAGCTACAGCTTTCGTATACATATAACAATTTTCGCCTGGGCAAAAGAACTCACAGCTTGGTTTTTCCCCACAAAACCAAAATGTACCATTGTTTGTAGTTGTAGAAGCAGCAGCTTTTCCGTGTAGACACTCCATGACTGATGTAGAACTAATGCAGAACTATGCTTGTTACAAGACGCTTGTCGATTTTATACAGACGCTCGTTAAATCAAACAACCAATCATAGTAAGCCAACATTAATCCCTCAATTGTATCATACACGTGGGGGACGCTAAAAAAATGCGTAGTCAGCAAGTTTCGCCCGATCGTGTTTAAGCTCGCCCGCGTGACGTCATTGCATATAATTATGACGTATATTAATGAGTGACGTCATTACTCCTCCTCAATTGTACGAGTATAAATTATAAATGAGGTGGTGGACACCCACCACCTCAAACTCCACCACCTCAAACTCCACCACCTCACACCACCTCATCCACCACCTCAAAAATCCGGGTCGAACGGCCCCTATATTACTACTGGCGATAACAATGCATATTCATTTGTCTTTCCACGCAGTTTGATATGTCGTGAGATGAGATTTATTAAACATACTCGACTCACAAACCGATTATTTCTGAATAGTTCTGTTCCCTGTTCGTCCCAATTATGTCCTTTTGCATCATTCCAAAGACAGCATGCAACTTTTGAGTAAATTTCCGCGGATTTTTCACAAGGAAGAGAGCGATGATGATATTAGACGTGAATATAAATGTGCTTATTAAGCATTATAGCTATATATAGTATATAAAGTGTTAAAATTAACACCTCCCCCCGGAATGAATGGATAGTATCTAAAACTACCAAAACTTTGCCCACATATCCTTTGATACGGGAATATATGTTATTCGGCGGTATAAACTTAGAACTAAAATGTTTAATTACCAAATTCCAAACACCATTGATCACCACCAAGACAATCTTTGCCAGAAACTATGGGACAGCTGCTGTAATTTCATATAATTTGAAAGGAATAGCGCCCCCCGTTCCTCCAATTCAATGTTGGGCCAACAAAAATCTGATGTCTGGATACGCAGCGCCAACATTGAAACGGGTGGGGGGGAGGGATGGTTGAAAATATGTATCTGGAAATGGTATATTACAACCGAATGCATGTCAAACTAGATTGTCCCAATCTATATTGTCACAGATTGTACGTTTACGAAACTGTTTACGGCTAGTCTCTCCGTCATCATACTTCCCAAAGACTTTCTGAATCGCACCCGCTTTAACCCACCAACATGCATTTCCATTGCTATTAAGCTTCTTAAGCTTATATCTGCTCCAATTTTTGAACTCAAACGCTGAGTCCAATTATTCATTCGTTTATGCCATGCGCGATAGAACGAGGCTGTTGAATTAAGGAATATGAAAAGGCTCGTTGCAGGAAGCGTGGAAAAAGTTGTGCCCCAGAGCACGAGGTTATGGGTGGGCGCATAGCACCAGACATGGATGTGGTTTTAGCAATTGGCACCTAACTGTAATGTTATGTCATGACTCCACACGCTGACTTACAAACAACAACTGACTTTATTGTCGTGATGATTTAAATACACCCACGAAGTAATTATGATAATTAACAATCTAACTAATTTGAATATACTACAACTCTCCTTTTAAGCTAATTATTTAAATTTACATAATATTTTTTACATTTTCAGTTTCTTAAAAAAATGTTCAAATGTTCGAATTAGTATATTGAATGTTCAAATGTTCGAATTACTCTACTTGAAAACAATTACTAACTATAGATTAGACTTTGAGGTGTTTTCGATACACGACCACTTCTAGTTATATGATTTACTCAGTTCTTTCGATTGTCCAAACTTTTTGTGACTTGAACTTAAACTGTCCGTTTCATTACCTAAACCTACTGTTACCTCATTATCTTCTTCTCTATCTTTAAGTTGTCAACTAATTTGATTGTTCAACGTGAGCAACTGAATTCGATTTCTTGGATATTTTCGTCCTTTAGGATTTTGATGTAACTACGTGGTTCGTTGGCATTCTTCGTCACCGTTACAGGTTTCCAACTCTTCCAGTATCTCATTCGAACGTGTTCACCTTCGTCGAGTGAAAGAAGACTGTTGGCGTGTTTATGATGATATACTCTCTGCTGCTGTACTTTTTCACGATTATCTTGAAATTCTTGTGCATACACAATTTCGGGCTTGAAATGGGTAGGTAATGAGGGAATCGTTGATCTCAAATTTCGACTCATTAGTAGTTGAGCTGGAATTGCGAATCCGTCCACTGGGGTATTTCGGTTTTCCAGAATGACCAGGTATGGATCTTGATGACTGCTTAAAGCCTTCGATAACAACTTCTTTACCGTCTGAACTGTTTTTTTCTGCTTCTAGGATATCTTGGACTTGATGTGGCGTGTTTGAATTCCCATGTCTTTGCAAACTCTTGGGACTCTCGTGAAGCATACTGTGGACCATTGTCTGACATCACTTCTTCTGGAATTCCATCCCGTGAAAATATCTTTCTCAACTCAGCTATGACATATTCAGCATTCATATTTCTGAGTCTGACCACTTCCCAATATCGACTGCAGTAGTCCACTACCAATAGATAGTCCTTGTTCTGCCAATGAAATATATCCTTTCCGACAACTTGCTATGGATACAGTGGAATTACCTGCTGAATTAGCGGTTCCTTTGGATTAACATTTCTTGTTCTTGACAATGGGAACACTTTGATACCAAATCTTCAATGTCTTTATTGATTCGTGGCCAAAAAACTGATTGTCTCGCCCGTTGCTTCGTCTTTTCAATACCTTGATAAACCTCGTGCAATTTGTCCAGAATCTTTCTTCTCAAGACTAGTGGTATTAATATTCTCTGATCGTTGAGAATGATTAATTGGGTTTCAGTAAGTTTCAATTTGTGATTCCAGTAGTCTTTTAGATCCTCGGGCAAAGCTTTCGTCGACTGCGGCCATCCCACTCGAATCATTCTGATAATCTTCTGTGACATAGGATCTCGAGCTGTTTCTTCGCGCACTTTCTCAAGGATTTCACTGGAGCATGGTAGATTCGCATAAAGGAGATAAACTTGGGATTTCATATCTTGCTCGCTGATTTCTTCTGCAGTTTCAGCCAACTGAGCTCTTGATAGAGTGTCTGCGACCTTGAGAAGCTTTCCTGGTTTGTAGATCAGGTTGATATCGTACTTCTGCAATCGTAAAAGCATTCTCTGCAATCTTGCTGGAGCCGCACCCAAAGGTTTCTTTAGGATATTTTCCAGCGGTTTATGATCTGAGTGAACTTCGACTGTTTTCCCATAAATATACTGGTGGAACATCTCACACGCAAAAACCACAGCTAAAAGTTCCTTTTCTATCTGCGTATATCTCTCTTGTTTCGTTGTCATCGTTCTGGAGGCATAAGCAACAGGGAACCCATCTTGCAGCAATACCGCACCAAGACCTTTACTTGAGGCACCCTTTTGTAGTACAACTGGCGTCGTGAAGTCATAGTATCTCAGAACGCGATCGGTTGAAAAAATTTCTTTTATTTTCTCAAATGCAGCTTGATGATTCGCCGTCCAGTGCCAAGAAACATGTTTCTTCAAAAGCTCCCTCAACGGTGCCGTAATCTCGGACATTCCTGGAATAAACTTTGCAAGGTAGTTCACTATTCCATGTAGCTTCTACACTTCTAGTTTGTCTTGCGGCGCTGGCATGTCTATGATTGCCTCGATTTTCGTCTGATCTGGTTGTACTCCCCTTCCCGTTAGTTTCTGTTCAAGGTAGGTTACCTCTGTTACACGAAACTTGCACTAGCTTGTCAGGGTTGAGGGTCATTCCGATTACCTTGGTTCGGTCTAGGGTAGATTGTAATCTCTGATCATGCTCTTCTATCGTTTTTTCTCCAAACCAATATGTCATCTATGTCGGGCTCGACTCCTTCGAGATATTCGAATAGATGGTTGATTCTCTTGTGAAATACATCTCGTGCTGAATGGATACCAAAAGCCATTCTCAAGAATCGGTACCGCCCAAACGGGGTGTTGAAAGTCGTCAATCTTGAGCTTTCAAAATCCAGAGGTATCTGCCAATACCCCTGATTAGCACCTAAAGTGCTGAAAAATCTTGCACCATGCAATCTGCTTGAAATTTCTTCCCACGTTGGTAACTGGTACTGTTCTTCCTCGAGATATTTTTTTAGCTCTCTCGGGTGTAAACAGACTCTAAACTTCCCATTGGGCTTCTCGACAATGACTGGATAGTGTACCCAATTTGCAGGCTTGTCCACTTTAACAATGACTTGTTCTTTTTCCATGCGATCGAGTTCTTGTTTCAGCTTACCACGTAACATGGTTGGAATCTTTCTATGGGCTTGAGTGACTGGAACTGCTTAGAGATCCAATTGCATTCGATAACACTAATCTAGTTTCCCAAGTACGTGAAAAACTTTATTGTAATTTTCTTTAATCTGCTTCGTTGAACAACCGCTGACCAAGTTGTCCGACTTCAGACTGTGCATAACCTTGATGAGATTTAGTTGCTTGTATGTTTGCAAACTGAGAACTGTTCTGTTATCAGTTTTGAAAATGTAGAACTCCGTCATTATTTCTTGCGTCTGGTACGAGCATGGCATGAAAAAGTATTGGGACGTTGGGCATATACTTACAAAATGACATGGTATTTATGAATGACTTCTTTGTCGATCTACAATATGAGTATATTCATTATTGTATGTGGAAACGACGGCGTAACAAGTTTCGTATTTATTCCATGATATTAACCATGAAAGAATTGGCTAAATGAAATCATCGCACACGTTGTCGTTGTTTTGTTAAATTGACATATTGTCGCCAGGACTTTGGAGTAACAGCTTTTGCTTGTGTTAAAAACTTGAAGTTTTAAGTAAACAATACAGTACATTAGATCTTCCGTTTCATGTTTACTTGGCAAATATGTGCGAAGAGGTCACTTAACTGCACATTATCAATTATGGTCAACACTCAACATGTTGTAGCCCGTGGTCTTTGTGCTTTTGTAAAAGGAGTTATCTATAAAAATTTAAGATGCCAGGTGTTTCTGTAGCATCTGTATAAAATTATAGAATAATAATTACCTCCGCCCGGAGGTTATTACCTCCGCCAGGAGGTTGTGTAATCATCTGGGTTTGTATGTGTGTGATCATCTGGGTTTGTATGTGTGTGTGTGTGTGTGCGTTTGTCTGTGAGCATGATAACTCAAGAAATACCAAACATATTTCATGATCATACGAAATTTTTTGAATGCATTTCGCATCGGCTAAGAAAGAACTGATTAAAATTTGGTTGAATTTGGTTAAAAATCGAACGAAAAACGAACAAAATTTTGTCTTGCTTTTCCCGGTCAATTAAAAAAAACTCACTGAATGCGTGTTTAGGACGTGTATAATAGTACTAAGATGACAATAATGAGATGATAAACCTCATGAAGCTTCAGCCTTCATTATCTATTGTCTTAGATGCATTTCACAAGACCGAAATTCAATGTGGGCGGAGTTATGCAGGCTCTGAGTGCCCTCTAGTTTTTGCATCAATTTGTGTCTGGATAAAAAATAAGTAGTGAATTTAAATACAGATGTTTCCTTGTCTGTTGCTATGTGAAACAATGTTATTTATAGCAATAAGAGTCATAGTGGATCAATAACAATTTCTCATTTGCCAAAAATATACAAGCATTGATTCCATTTCCAAACTATTATACTATGTGAATATATTGGCAATTAATCCAGTTATATATAAAAGGAGATACAGTAGGATTGAAATAGCTACCAGTTTCAAGGTGTTATTGTTTCCCAAGCATCATTGAGGAGGCACTTGTTCTAAATATATGCAATAAGTATAATATATACCATTAAAAATGTCCATATTCAGAGTTAGTGTTGTACTATATTTTGTTAAAATACTGGAGAAATGCAATATATTTCATGATTTTAAGAATTATTTGAATGGGGACTGCATGGATAAAAGAGGGGGGGGGGGGG